TGAACCTTAATTTTGAGGAAAGAGCAGCCCTGAAAGCATTCAAACAAGATAATACCCTGGTTATAAAACCAGCAGACAAGGGGAGGAGGGGGCATTGTGCTACTTGAAAGGGTAGATTATATCCAAGAATCATTAAGATTACTGGGCGATAGGAGTACCTATCAAATACTTAAAAAAAGATCCTTTAATTGATTTAAAAAAAAAGCTATATTATAACAAACAGGAATACAATTTTTTTTAAAATATTTTATTGTATTTTACTGTCTTTTTGCTGCCATGTGTTTAATGGAGTTTTGCCTCTGTCTTTGGAGATAATTGGATTACTTCTAATTATCTCCAGGATAGAAGACTCTGTGGAACTGGTTTTGGGCAGAAAAGCCATGCTTCCTGTGGTCACAAAGGACTACGATCTATCTTTTGAACCACTGGACCAATTTGTATGATTTTGACGTATGTTTGTATTTGGAGTATGCTGATTCTGAAAATGTATGTGAATGTGATGCATACTTTTCAAGTTATGAATAATGTGGAAAAATTGTATTTCTCTGCTTGTGCTAAATTACATTACCCATTGTGTAAGGTAATTGAATCACATGCAGAGGGGAGGAATTTGTGTGGGAGTGTCTGAGTGTATTGTATGTGTTTATTGGTTGTGTTCCAAAATCCTGTGGGTGGTACTAATGTGTAAGAATGTGTACATAAGCACAATAAACCCACAGCTCTGACTGTTCACTGCTTGACCCTCAACACGGAGCTTTGTCTCGTTCTTGGGGGGATTTATTGTATGCTGTACCAGTTCGACTGCTAGGAGTGTAAGCCGCTTGGATGCTTTTCCTATTCGTCTGCTAGCAGTGATTCGTATGGTTCCAGTTCGTGTGTTTGGAGTGCTATATTGGATGCCGTTCGTCAGTTTGAAGCATTCACTTATTGGCGGTTCGTGTGTTTGGTGTTCTGCTGTAGCTGTGCCTGCATCTCTGGAAAGGGGGACGATCGCCTAAACGGTTTTTACCCCTTGTGTGCAAAACGGTCCGTTAAAAAAAAAATTAACCAGAAGAAGCTATGCTTCAAGATACCTGATTAATATAATACTTCTGCCAAATACGTTAACCCTACCATACGTTTAAACAACTGTAGAATATTGCATATTCTGTATGTTCCTATTCAAATACATATTAAGGTGTGGCTGTCTAATGGGTTAAACAGAACAGATGGTGTTTGCTACTCTGTAATATGAGGTCTCTGGAATTTCCTGTATAAGAGATTTGAGGCGGTCTTTATATAGGGAACTTCCTTATATGGCAGGGTCTAAACTAAACATTATGACGTAATTTGGGGTATATAGAGTCAAGGACAAAGGATTACGCTCTCTTCCTGCTACGATCCGTTTGCTCTCCTCTCTGATGTCAAGACGACTCTCTGTAACATCGTTAAGAATTACCATCTGTTAAGTATATATAACTGTTTCCTGTTGAATGTAGAATAAATACTCATTTTTTATAAAGAACGTCAGATTGCGTATTACTAATTTTCAATAATATAGACATATATTATTGTGGCGAGCATTTGGCCCAAGACGTATATATATCAATAAACTGAAGACAAGAAGAAATATCTATATATATATACATACAAGACTTATTCAACTATAGAAAAACACAGCCAGTTATTACAACAACGGTTTGAGCCTTTACACAGCATTTATAGTTGTATTGTTATTTTTTAAAGTAATCCTTAACACTCATTACTAATCTAGCAACCGTACACGCCTGATAGCGACATTAAATGTTAAATACTTACATTTGTGTGTATCTTGGCTTAAAACTGAATATGCTCTATAAGGTACACTACAGGCATATTGGTATGCAGCGGATATAATGCTACTTAGCCACTGCATATACAGAAGTAATGCGTTATATATGATGATAAATTGAGTGACTGTTTGGCAATTGAACTAGATTCAGTTATGCTTATATTATTTGATGTTTATGATTCTGCACAGATTATTATGCACCCTACGGGGTCAGTCATCTAAAGTCTGCATTTACTCTGCAAGGAAAATCGCATATATAGGGTTGATTGCCTCATTACGCAATCCGCAACGTACGTAATCAGCACTGCATTAGAATGCTCATGAAGTGTTAATAACTGATGTTATACTGTAGAGCTACAACAGGCCTCTGTGTAGGCCCATGTACCCTAATTCATATATTTCAAAATGAGCCTCTGCACAGGCAATGCCACATTTAATTTTCTCCTTGCTATGAACCTGCTATCATACTACAAACAAAATAAAAAACATTTAAAACAATTAACGAGCGATTTCAATAGGACCAGTGTCAATTTCTTAGACTTCAATATTTACATAGAAGAGGATACCATTAAAACAAAGACATTCTTTAAACCAGTAGATGTCAATAGTTATGTAGCAGAGGGGAGTTGTCATTTCTCCCTGTGGTTGAGAAATGTCCCAAAATCACAATTATTGAGGATTAAAAGAAATTGCACTGAAGAGGAGATTTTCAACCAACAATCATTAAAGATTTTAAAAGATTTTAGAGATAAGGGATATGAAGAGGAGCTACTCAATAAAGCTTTTGAAGAAAC